AAAAAAATCTCTTTTGTTCATGCAAAAACCCCAAGAAGTCAATGAGTTGTATGATTCCTATTTTAATAGTGGGATACATGATGATATTGAGTCATGCTTAAGGATATTAATTGGTGATAAAAAAAATCGAAATAATAAAGAGGCACAATTGATCATTGTAAATACATTTTCAAACATTAACACTGACGTTAAGGCTTGCTTGGGTACATTAGAAATACCTTGTCAAGTAGATAAACTTTCGACATTTAAAACCGAAGCTCAACTACAAGATCGAATAAAACGTTTTTGGTTGGATAGTAGCGATGAACTTTTAATTCTTCAATGTGATCAATCAATGGTAAATTCCAGTTGCATTAAATTGGCAAAATTCATTATTGAACAAATCCGAACGAAATATTTGGAAAAAAAGCGAAAAGTTGACATTGATATGCCAGTAAAACATGTTTGCATCATTCTCCATATTCATCGTGAACAAAGAATAACTTCTAATTTTGATTTCATGTGTGGATGGAATCAAATTACTGTTGGAACTCTAACACCAGAAGAAAAGAACCTGCCAATTCTTCTGGGTGGAAAAATCATAAATGTCATGAATTCAGTTTTACCATTCGAAGAGATCTTAGAACAGGAGTTATTATGGTGTCTTCTATGTATTAAGTACCCATCTACAATGGACTCTGTAGAGCATATCAAGTGAGTAATTCTAATGCATTTCAAAATTTTTCACATAATTCTTCACACATATATTTTAATTATAAAATTTTTTTCTTTTCAGATATCTTGTCAATGAAATTCCCAAACATCCACGGTTTGTAAAAATGTTGAAGCAAAGAACATTGAAATGGTTAGATGAGAATGCTTCAACCAATTGGCAGCTGAAAGTTGCCACTGACAAGAAAGTACTTTATTTACATTCATCATTCTGCGCCGCTCTTCAGGCATATATCCGAGTTGTTGTAAGAAAGCATATTGCTAAACTGTTATGCGTACTTGAACGGCTGTCTGCTCTTAAAACTTTACTAAATCTCGAAAGTAAAAACGGTGATAACTACCTTATTGAATTTTGGTATCAGATGTTTGATGATCATAATGTTGTTGATGTTGAATTCTTGATGGATCCGAAACCTGATAACTATCCCATGACAAGCGGTCCATATACCATGGAATTTCCCTTTTCATATTACCTTATCAAACAAATTAATCTTTATGAAAAACTTTATTTGGAAGATGTTAAAATACTTAAAGAAGATAAAAATAATATCGACAATAATACGGGAGATTTATCAGTTAATGTACTTGCTGATTGCTTTGAA